AATATTTTAGATTTTTATAATATTTCAATAAATTTTATTAAATTTATATATAACTGATTAAATATTATTAATATTTTTTTGATTTTTAATATTATATGCTATATAAGATGATTAATAAAAACTTGTTTAAATTTTTTTATTGATGTGTATCTATTATTTAATCATATTATAAAAAAAATGTTATACTATTTAAAATTTAGTACCAGATTGAGATAAGCAAAATTTTTCAATAAGTAATAAAGAAGAAAATATTATACATTTAAAAATAATCTTTTATTAATAAATATCAATTTAATTTTTTTTTTAAACTTTTTACCATTGACAATAAAAGTGTTTATGATTTTTAGATTACAAAAGTCAAGTTTTTGTTTGAAAAGAAATGTTAACAAATAGAAAGAAAAGTTAAAGTAACACTTATAATTCTTTTTAAGTTGGTTTAAAGAAAGAAATAAGATTTTATTAATCAAGAAATATAAAAACTTCTTACAAATATCTTTTTTATATATAGTTAGAGGATCAGTTAAAAGAGTTGATTGAAAAATTAATGAAATTATATATTATATATTATATTATAATTTATATTATTTATAATTTATAAATATAACTTTAATTTTAAAAAATTCATATATAAATTTGACTATTTTTTTATTGTTAAATTTTTGTTAAATAGGGTTAATAAATAATTGATAAATTTTTAATAAATAATTTTGATAAATAGTTAAGAAATTTTAATAAATAATTTTGATAAATAATTAATAAATTTTTAATAAATAATTTTGATAAATAGTTGATAAATTATTATTGAATTGTTAATAAATAATTTTGTGACAAATTTTTATTGAATTGATAATCAAATTTTTTGTAAATTATTTATAAATTGTTAATTAATTATATTGTTAAATATTTTTTTACTATTTTATTGACAATTTATTATTGAATTTTTGATTAATAAATTTTTAATTAACATATTATTATCTAAATAGTAGTATATCAAGTGATAGCAATTAAAAAGAATTTGTTAATATCTTTATTATTAAATTTAATCACATTTGATAATAATTTAACTACTGAATAATATAATTTAGTTACTAAATAATATAATTTGAACTATTGTATTTAATAAATCTATTTTTTAATTTATATATAAATTTGTTTATTATATCTTTTATATCAATATTATACTAGAATATTTATTTAATTAATTAAAAAAAAATCTTTTTAAGAACTTTGTTCAATTAAAATAAAAATATAATAATCTTTGTTTTTTTTTTAAGAAAAGCCTTTTATTACTAAAGAAACTTAGTAAAAATAAAGAATTAATATATTATATATTTCTTGCTTATTTTTTAATAATGTATTAGCTTTTTAAAAAATTTGCTTAATCAAAAAGAACATTTTCATAAAAAAATTTTTTATTATTAGATATACTGTATAATAGAACCTTATTTATATTCTTATATTTTATTTCAATCAATTATTTTTAATAAAAATTATACTATTTAAAAATTTAAAATTAAATTGAGATAAGTAAAAATTTTTGAAAAAATTATAAAATAAAGGATTTAAGAGAATCAAAATTGTTGATAAAAGGAAAAAATAAGTTTTTATTATAGAAAATTTTTTTTTCAATTTGCTTAAAAAATAAAAAAAATTTTAAATACTTTATAAATAATTTTTTTCAAGTAAATTTTTTATTATTAATAATAAAGGTATGCTTGATTTTTTTAATTATTAGAAATCAAGTTTATAAACAAAAATATTTATAAATAAATAAAAAAGTTAATAATAATTTTTCAAATTATTTTTTGAATTATTTTAAAAAAAGTTTTAAGATATTTTTAATTAAAAAGTTCAAAAACTTTATATAAACATCTTTTTTATATATAGTTAAAAATTTGAAAAAAAAATTTTTTATATAAAATTTATTATTTATTTTGTTATTTATTTTTTAATAATCTTATTTTTGTTTTATTGATTATATAAAAATCCATTAATTTATTTTATTTATAGTTTAAAAAATATTTAAATTAATATATTATTTATATTATATATTTTATTAAAATAAGTTGCTTGTTTTAATTATTCATATAATAGACTATTCAATTTTTTAAAAGATTTAAAGTCAAAGTTATTTGATTTATTAAGTAGATTCAATTTATTTAAGATTCATTTTGATGTCAAAAAAGATATTAATCAATACTAGTTAGATTATAAGCTTTATAAGATTGATATTAACTCTTCTTTTTTAATTATAAATTAATTTGATTTTTAACAAGATATAAATTTATATACAGTATAATCTATAAAAATTTAATGAAACATATATAACTTTTCTAACAAAAGATAAAAAAAAAATCAGAAAACTATTTTATTATATGAAAAATAATAAAAGGTTGATACTAATTATTTAAAAACAAAATATTTTTGAAGGATAATAATGAGGAATATATCATTTTAATATGTTGAAATTAATAACTAAAATATAAAAAAATAATTCACGTGATTTTGGTTTTGAATACCCTAATTTAAATAAACCAAGTTTTGCTTTGTTAATTGGAATAAATTTTGATAATATAATTGGAGAATTCTTTACAACTCACGTTTTGCTTCGAGTGTGTCCTATGGGGCAGGGTACAGATACTTTTACACGAAAAAATTTTCCCACAACCTTTTTGTGAACAAACCAACCCAAAAAAAAAAAAAAAAAAAAAAAAAAAAAAAAAAAAAAAAGACAAAGACTAACTTTATGAGAAAGTTTCAATATTAATTAAGATAATTAGTTTTAAGAAACTTTGACTAACGTTTTTCTTTTGTATGAGACCTTAAGTGATTTTTTAATGCGCTTGGAGAACTTTGGGGCCTTTCACAAATATCACATGGGTATTTTTTCCTAGGGCGTTTCCTTGATACATTCGAAGTCGAAGATTCTTTCTGGGTACTAGGAATACAAAATGTTAAATCAGAATCTATCGAGAGTTGACCTTGAGCTAACCATGGGTTGTATACATTCATTAGGTATTGATCCGGGAGATGCGATGCGTTTGGGGACACGAGCGCTTCACCAGAAGGTTGCACATATTCTATGCTCGTTTGATTGGAAAAATCAAATCCGAGATAGGAATATCTGTCATGTGACAGTAAAGAATGCATTTTGTTATCACGTGACACTGGTAAAAAAAATAAAAATAAAAATGAATTGTATGGTATGAGGTCAATTGATTATACAAACGACAGATTGATCTTACTGAAAAAAATTTGAGGGATTTCTTAAAAACCATCCGCGAGGATCATATATCATATATATATATACTTCAAAACCCCATGTTAGCTATTGTTTTTGCACTATGTAAATTGGAAACAAATATAAACAAGGAATTCGCCCAAAAATATAGTCACTGCTCAGACACTGGGGTAGCCATTCAATCATTCATGATGTCTAAATATGATGAAGGGAGTAAGTGGATGGAAACAGAATTAAGTGAAAACCGGTGAAAACTAGATCATTTGTTACACCGAGTTCTTAAATAATAACCATTAACCATCATAAAAGGAAGATGAAATCTTACAGTACAAGAATTAAATTAAACGTTTGAGGCATTCGTTATGCTCTCTCCTCTTATGGCACGTTCTTTATATTGAAAATCGTATTCTTAGTTAACGATCTATTTCTAAGCTTTAACGAATTAGATAATTGGTTTTGCTGAAAGCTTCTCAATAGTAGCACTTCTGAATTGCTTTGCTGAAATATATAGCAAATAACAAACTTCCAAATAGTATTAAAAATAAAATAAAATAAAATAAATAAATAAATAATAAATAATAATAAAAAAAATCCTTTTTTTTATTTGAAAGAATATTGCCATTGTAGCTTTAAAAAAAACAACTTTACAAACTGAACAATTGTCGTCATTTGAAACAAAAAAGTATATATTGTAGATCCAATATAAAAATCCGAGTTTGCAAGTCCGTTTGTTTGTTAAACAAACTAAACATGATGTGATGCTAACCTATTTAATACATTATGAAACAATGCTCCAGGAGATCCTAATTCATGTAACGAATAAATTGACCGCTCATTTCTAATCTTAAAAATTCAGTAACGTATTGCATTGTCTTTCCAGATCACGAAGCATTTTTTTTTTTTATATAGATAGTGATATAATCAAAAAATTTACTGATACAAATGACGTAATGACGTTACATGTGAATATACGTAATTTAAAAGAATATCTTCTATATATCTAAACTTCGATAGGGAATACAGCACATGGACGCTGAGGATAATGACATCGATACGAGACATCCTGTGTAGCATAGAGATCCATTTTTGGGAGCAATTTTTATCAGCATTAAATTACCGCGAGGAAAAAAGTACCTATGGTATCATATAAGGAACAATACCTCTACCATGGTACTAATTTTTTTGTTTGGAAGAATGATACGCACAATTTGTTTGTACAACAATAGGCATGAATTCATGCGATTTCTGGATTTCCGGTTATGATATAGGTACTGTGTGCAGCAGAAAAGAAATGTTTTATTAATTCCGAATACTCACGTGACTTTCGATCGTTACGGTTGCAATGCATACACATTGACAAATAAATCTTTGATCATAGGTCAGAGTGGAATACTACGAAAGTAAAATATAATGCAGAAATTTTATGCTATAGGCTCGAAATTATTCCATATCAAAAAAAAAATATTCTCTTATAGTGTTAGTAAGAAAGATACAGATAGACAAAAATGGTTAATAATCGGGATATAAATCATATATTCTAATCGTTATAATTTTTCTAATTATGATTTTTGATGTCTATATGGTCTTGTAAAAATATACATTTCGCGTATTCTTTTTATGACAAATACATTCTATATTATCTGAAATAGAGCACGAAAAAAGAACATTTCATTCAAAGAGAGAAATTATAATAACATTTGAAGTCATTTTTTGAAAGTTACTAACAATAATTGTAACATAATCCTGCCAATCTCAACCTTCAATACAATTTCCTAAGCGCCAACAAATCTCCAAACACATTCTTGCTTTCCTCTTCCGTTATTAGAATCTCGTTGTCCTTATAGGTCTTATCATTACGCTTTTTGGAATCAGTCACAAAAAGAAAGATTTGCTCTCGGACATTTTTACATCTATTATGTTCTTTCTCCACAAGGCCTTTCTCTAGTATAATTGCTGAATAACCCTCTGTCACTTTCCTGCGGTTAACTATTAATTGTTTATCTTGAATGAGAGTAAATGGTTCTGTGATCAAGAATGAGTCGGCAAATTCTGCATTCTGTATATTGTAGTAGGCAATGCATTCTGGTGTAGGTTGTATCTTAATACGATTTTTCATTGATCTGTTTATCTGTTGAGCGGACAGTAAATACAGGTGAAAACTTGATTAAAATATCGAATTTATATGCAGAAAAATCAAAAGCGTTCTTATCATATCTCAGCATATTAAATATTAACATACGTACAATTTTTTATATTAATAGTCAAATGATTACCTTATTATTTTAGCCACACAATTTCTATCAATAATTGAGCTATTCATATTAATTAGTTATAATTTAGCACATTAATTAATAATCATCATAGTTACGATCATCATTTAACTTTTCGAAAATCCATTAGCGCAATCCGAAAATTTTTATTGCTATTTTTGTAATAAGTCAAATTTATGACTCTATAATATATGCTGTTAAAGGCCAAAGAAGTCAAACAAAGTTCAGAATTTTCGCCGTGGTCACGTGACCGACGATCGTGACACGACCGAAGCTTACGCGAAACAATCAATTGCCGACTATCATCATACCCCTTACAAGCTAGAAGAATGCGCGAACAATCCATTCGCGTCAAAAAGGTAAAGAACTATGAGCTGAGGTAATAGAAAATTAGCTGATCAAGAGGTAATTTATGCATGACATAATACTAGAATAGCCATAGTGATTATGTAATAACCCTATGTGTAAAAATGTATAAATGT